ACACACACACACACACACACACACACACACACACACACACACACACACACAGCCTTCATGATGATTAGCCAGGAGAGAACATCCCAGCCTGCCCTCTGATATCAGCGCCCCCTTTTGTTTAAGCAGTGTAACTGCGATCGCTGACGAGCAAATTGGCTGTTTGGACCTTTGTCGCATTTATGTGTGCGTTGTTGGCCAATAATACCAACAATAATAATAATGATAGTAAAATATATGTTTGACCTAAATGCTCAAACCGACCTCGGTATTGATGATGTCTGACGTGTTAATAAAACAAGTGTGGGAAATGAGGCAGTAGCCCCGCCCCCACAGAGCCCAGGTGTTTGAGGTGTCTTACAGGTAAAATTTAAATTCTTTCCTGGCTATTACAGGAAGATAAAGAATGTGAGGCTGAAACCTGAATGTGGACTCGAGTCGGTTAAATGTCCAGCGCACAGGTGAACTGAAGACGCGGCGGGGCACAGCACCGTTACCGGACCCAGGGGAGGGGCGGATGTACAGTAGTCGGCATTAGTGCGTCGTGGTCGTGCGCCCTCGGCTTCAGCAGTCACGTGGGGGGCTGATATTGGGAAGGGAGGGGGGCCTTTAGTATTGTAGTGTTTCTGTATTATAGCTCTGTCTGAACATTGTTAGGTTTGATCGCTTTTATCACTGTGGGGGAAAAGGTGATCCAAGTTTTTATTCTCGCTCTTTGTTATGTTTGGTTTCCCTTCGCGAAGGCGAAGACGGACGCCATCCATCGTCTCTGTAACCTTCTGCTCTTTCTGTCTCCTCGTGATGTGAAAGGCTTTTTGTGATCAAGTTCATGGCAGGAAATTAAAGTTGTTACAACCTGAAAACGTCTCGTCTGTGTCCACACTGATCCCAAACATCAGACGCGCTCCATCCAGGGTCATTCTAGGAGGTGAAGATCATGTCTTTCCTGGTAAATCACCATGGTAACTGATGCTAAAGACCCATCCTGTGAAGAAGGGGTAGATTTGTTATTTTCTGCCCTGTCGGCCCTGACGTTAGATCTGCACTCGCACTCATTTCAAACACCTGAAGCACCTTCAGGCTGATGATCTGAAGTAACCAGGAGCTCTTTGCTGTGGACGCACCTGTCTGTGATAAACATGTGACCCAGAGTTTACCTTTATTCAATTCAGTTTTATTTATATAGCGCAAAATCACAACAACAGTCGCCTCAAGGTGCTGTATATTGTAAGCAGGACCTACAATAATACATACAGAGAAAGACCCGGACCGTGCTCTGGGAGCTCTCACAAAGCCTGCAGGTGTGAGTAATGTTCCTGACTGAGATCCAGTTAAACACTCGTTTTTGTAAGTCATGACGCGCACCTCACGCCGCAGCGTGGAGCTGCACAGGCAGCACATCTACTGCAGGAAGTGACTCATCAGCCTGTCAGCTGCAGACGGTCTGAGCTTTCAGCCCGACTGTGTTTTGT